ACATTTTCTCACACCTTCTTTCAAAACAAGTTGAAAAAATGTTACCCATCTTTAGCAATTCAGCAAGACTTTTGATCAAGAGCCCAACATACCCGACTTAGAGATGACACGCTCACTGCTCAGCATTGCTTAGGGCTCCCAGAACAGTTTTCAACAGTGAACGAATCAACAGTCTTCACTCATCAAGAAGCAACGATATTGGTGAAAGGTGACAAAATATCACAACTTGGATTAATTTGCTGTTCAAAAGAGGTAAAAAGCCATGTACTGTATGTACCAGTGAGAAAGGGCAGAGAAAGAAAAGCAGTTACAGCTTTACCCATACAGCTAGCTCGGGTAACTGGCTTGTTCTCTCCTCAAATGCCTCCACCACGCTTCCCCCCGCATCACTATATAAGATGCATCTAGGAGCCAAAACCACAGACAGTGTCAGTCACTCCAGCTCTTTTGAGGTGGTGAGGAAATACTCACTTACACTGAACGGGGACCTGCCCAACTAGTAGTTATTAGTATCTATTGCATGCCTCATAGCAGCATTAAATCAACTGCTCTGTTTCCCACATGCAATATGCACCACAGACTGGAGCCAAGAGACTTGCACACCAATATCATCTCTTTACACCAAGTTTGGAACCATCCCACTCATTTTCTTTCATCCTTCTCAAACTGACATTTTCTAAAACCTTAGAGATGATTGCAATCAGAAGGTTTAGGATGATAATTAGTGTTGGCACAGGCGCTTCCACTTTCATTCATGTTTACTGATACAGGCAGGTTCCCCCACCCCAATCAAAAATACTTAAGATTGTAAGTGAGAAGTGTTAATATTTGTTTACTCTTCGTATATCATAGAGGAGTCAAATTGCAGCATCAGTCAAACCAGGCCTGGACCAACAAAAACTTCATGATCTTGACCAGTCCTGACAGTATGGAGTGCTGAAAGGACTTTGGTATTTCGCCTTCTATCTTGGATCATGAGGAGCAAACTTCTTCCAAAGATCACATCCACAGCCTTTGGAAGTGAAGCCAAAAAGCTCCACCTGCCAGCCCAGCCTGCATACCTCACCTCACAGCTGAGTTACGCACAGCTGTTATTCCCGTTTCATTGATGGAGGAAGAAAAAAAAAAACAACAGTCACTTAAATCAATACAAGAAATCTGTGACAAAGCAGGCTTAGCCTACTTGCACACTTTCAAAAGAGAAGGTGCATGATGGTAAGACTACCAGCCCCCTGTGCATCCCAACTGCTCTGAGAGCCCACGCCATAAAGGAGTGTGCTACTTCATGGACAATCTCAGCTCTAAAGGAAACCCATGCCTCCACAGTCGGATCTGATTTAGGAAAGGTTCCTACACAAAGCAGTAGGGAAAAATATCAGAATATGTTTGCTTGCTCAAAGTGCAATCTAAGAGGCACCTTTTCTCAGTGGAATGAGACTTATTCGGTGCCCCATGTGTACTCAGAGTAAATGAGAGTCCTACCAAAACCTCAAGTGGTCAGCTTCTGCAGGGCTGGGGTTTGCTTTCACAGTGTGCTGCTCTCTTCTAAAGCTGTTGCATAAGAGTTGTATGTTTAACATTTCAAACCAGACAAAATTGCTCTTCATATTTGATCAGGAATAATTTTTTTTTTACCTTTGAACCTGTTGCAATGCAGGTTCAAAGGTTACCTGGGTGCAGTGTTGCCTGTTTATTAAAGCCACACGCTGACGATTTGGGGCTTAGTCCTCCTAGAAGAGCCGGAGAAGCACCAACTCTTGAACACCCGCTTGGAGCTGTAAAGCAGCAAAGGAAGCAAGCTGTGCCAGCCCCTCCACCCTCCTCCAGCGCTGAAGGAAGGTAAGCAAATCTCTCCTGAACAGAGCCCATCTTTCCCAGGTACTACGCTTCCTGCTCCTGCAGAGAAGTACTGCAAGTGCAGTAACAGCCTTAATTTTCTGCAATGCCTGGATCCAATGCACTCTTCCCATCACTCTGCATGCTGGTAAAGGCTGCTGCTATGTAACTGGATGCATGTTATTAAAGCAGCAAGTCTGGGCTCAGGGGTGGCACACAAAGAAATCACTGCCTGAGTCAGAGCAGCCACCTCAACACTCCCTGCTGCTACAGCTTGGCTGGCACTGGAAACCTGACTACCATCCAAGGTGGAGCCATTTTCTTATCAGTTTGTTAGTTATGTCTATTTAAAGATAGAGTGCACAGAGTACCAGTGCCAGGCTCCCCTCCAGACTCATGTTTAAAACAGGGTTCCAGAAATAGAAGAATCATTTGGTTCCACAGATTTGCAGGCAGGTTTTGAAATCTTGTCAGTACAAGCTCATTATATGCTAGATGACTTATACACACAAGTTTATTGGCAACATTTACTATAACAGGACCTTAATCACTAAGAACACAGAAGCTGGCTATAGGGCCTCTTTTTAGTGTTTTAAAAGCACAGATCTTAGAATATGGTACACTAGACTGCTGCCGTTGCTTTGGTACAACTGCTTGGTGCAGCTATAGAGGTGGAGCCTTCCCCAAGCTCTGGCCTGTGCACAGAGCTGCAGCTGTAACAAAGGAGGATAGCAGAGACAAAAATCAACTGGAAATCAAGCTGCAAGTAAGAGAACTGTCAAAAAGCAGGCTGCTCTTCCAAGTCCTAAGCTCATCATCCTGTCCATACCCCCTTCTCTGAGGAACCCACTTATCCTCTGAGAAGATTATTGATGCCCTTGTGCTGTTACTCTGCTTTATAAAAGCCAGAAGGCTGCCCTTGAAAAGTGTATCAGAGCAATATACAAAATGATTATTTTTATAGCATTAAGAAAACAAACTGTAATTGAAAAACCCTTCAAATAAAGTGAGCCCGCACTTCCTACAGACTCAAAAAATTTAGATCCAAGTCTTAAAGTGGCAACAGAGAAAACTGTACACTGAGCTAATGCTTCCCCTTCATTTATTTACATCCTCTGCTATTTGCTATAGGTAGAAGGGCATTTTGGCATCTTTGGGTAGCAAAAGCTTGTGTTGTGCTGTGACCTTAAGGTTTATTATAAAAACGCATCCATTGCCCATGCAAACCTTTTGTGACAGTGACAACAGAAAGGAAACAACTTGAACTCTCTATACACATCCTGTACCTACTGCTCATCCTAATTTTGTAATGGGTATGAAAGATGCAGGTGTGCATTCTATATACACGTCCAAAAAGAAGCAAAGGTTGAGTTATTCATGGCTTTGCTTTATTTTTTGGCAGAGAATTACTAGCAACAAATGTATTTATGCCTCATAAAAATCTAGAGTTTATTCCGATCATTTGAGACAGTATCAAAAATTAAAAGCCTCAAAATTTGCATGTCACTTCTTATGCATACTTTTGCATCAGCTGTATTCTAATTTGTGAGCATTAAACAGAAACAATCATTAAGCATAAACTATCCTCCCCAAGGCTTTTCTATGTGCATCCCTTAATGTAGTTTATGTTGGAGACCCACTGAGTCCAGGCAATGCAATGCAGTGTAACCTTAACAGCTCAGGGACCTCTGCATCACAGTGCTGGGCTTCTGGCAGGCCAGGCAGGATGGGGCTGCAGGCATGTCCTCTTACACCCACAGCCAAAGTAAAGGCAGCTGTGACACACAGCATTGCTACCCAACAGGTGATCAGAGACAGGGCAAATCCACTGCTTTTTCCTCTTCCTCCAGGAAAAATAACAGCCTGAGGCCAGATATCTGAAGGGGGAAAGTCCTCAGAGGGGCACTCAAAGAAGTTGATAATGCATCTGGCTGCGCTGGGAGCCTAGTCTTCTTTTCCTCTCTGAAAAAGAAGTATTGCCTTTCTTTGAGCAGAAGTGCACCCTGACTGGCACTATTAAAGCTGAAGCTCATGGCTTCACTTAAATGCCACAGAAACAGTTCTGGGTAGGCAAAGCCAAAGGCAGAGGAGTTTCATGCAGAACAAGCTATTTATTTTTCATCTTCATGTAAAGCCTACAGTAAAATCGAGAATTAACCCTCAGCTTCCCTAAAAAGATATCTGCATTGATAAATAATGCTACAATTCCAGTGTAAGTTAGCTTTACCTGAATAGCATAAAGTTTACAGCAGCAATAAAAACATTATTGTAATTAGTAGCGGCTATGTGTTTTAGCAAGCCAGGGTCCAGGACACATTGTTTTCTGGATGCAAGTACATGCTATGTTATTCCATTGCAGCTATAGTTAGTCTAGCAAGCAGATTATTCTGAAATCATGCAGTACAGAAAAACTTCCAGATGGACAAACTGTTAAGTGTGAAAACCATTCCAAGATCTGAGGTCTAGGCACTGAAGAAGAGAGTTAGGTGATGCTATTCTCACCCCTCCAAACCTGCTGCAACATTCCAGCTATATTAGAAAAGCATCAGAGCAAAAAAATGAAACTACAGCAGCTACGAACTTTTAAATAGATAAATACAACTGTAAAACCATAAAGAAAATCCCTATCATAGCAGAAAACAAAACTGAAGTTTGAAACATGATTCACTGTTACGTTGCACGCATAATTGTGCCTATGTAGGTCTATACCACAGCAAAAGAACTAGGTCGCCTGGGGGGGGAGGGGAGAAGGGAAACCCCACAACACCAGAACCAAACCAAAACCAGCAGCAGAAATGGGGATCCAACCCACTACCAAGTATATTACAGCAGTATACGAGAAATCCTGTACTCAAAGCATTTTGTCAGTATTACAGGCTGCAAAGCTCTGCTTAGCTTAATGTACACACAGCTCTAGAGAGCTAAAAATAATAATTGAGAATACAGCTTTATACACAGAGAAAAAATAGCGAATAGATTATCAACAATAAATTATAAATATCATTTCAAAAGGTTTTGGTCTGCTTTTCACCTAGCTCTTAAGAAACGTCTAAACTTCAAGCTCCTTTCATCAACAAACAAAAAAAGTCAACAATTTCCTCTGTATTTTTTTTTCTGACCACCAGTTCCTCTATGCAAGTTCCTCCCCTTTACAAGCTCCCTTCCCAGCATGCTTTTCTGCTTGCTGATTTATTTAAACGGGGAAGAGGGAACTATCTGCAGTTTTTAACATGAGTGTTACCTAACTGGTGTTGGTTAGATGCTGTGCTGGTAAGGGTCCCTTTTACTCAAGGAAAAGAGGTTGGCTTCCCACCCCATCTCCACCATGGTAAGTGGGTTTGATTGCTGGTTCTCATCTCTGTATTCACTCTGAAATATTTTTTGTATAAGTGACGAAGTTCTACTTTTATTTGTTTTGTTGCTAATGGGCTTGCTTGTCGTTACTCACATGGGCTTTGTTGTAACCTATGTGCAAGTACACTGATTAGCTGCAGGGTTCAAGATAATGCCTTTTTCAGGAGCCTGCTGGGAAATCTCAGGTAGTGTGCTATCAGTTAGATGTTAACCTTAGGCTGAGTTAAGTTCAGATATATGTTTGCTCTTTGCTCTTCACAATGTAAATGCTGTAATGATATGTAGTGATAAAAGACATTAGTATCTAGTAGTTTTTAGTGCTACCTTTTCCCTGTGTGGCTATGTAAGATGCTTAATGATGATATTCTAACTTCCTTAGGAGTTCTATGTGAATTTTCAAGTTGAGCTTTAGTTCTAACTCTTTAAACCGTTCTTTTTGTGTGTTAGAGACAATTTTCTATCAATATAATGTTGGTGCATGCATGTTTTGCAAGAATGTGAGTCTGTATTATCTAATAAGATAGATAGTAACAGAACCCATTATACTGATTACTTTTTAAATTTTTAAAAACTTCAAGGGACTAGTTGGACATGTTCTATCTTCCTGAGTAGTTTTCAAGGAAAAAAGCTGATATAAAAAATATATGAAAGCCTGGCTTTTCAATTTATCTGAGAAAACTATTTTTCATACTAGGCAGTGTCATGGTGTCATTGTCATCCTGACAGAGGGACAGTAATATCAGATGTAATAAAATTCTTTATTAAAAAATGGTCTTTATATTTAAGTATACTGAAAGCCTGATTTGAGTAGGTTTCATCAGCATGGCTCAGAAATAGCCCGTAACTTGTAGTCTGAAACCACAGAGCACTAGACTTCCTGAAAGTAAGTTACTGAGGCCTCATTCTTTCCCACCCCCTAGCAGAGTGCTTCTCGGGCAAGATCAAAGGATACTTGAACTGTTTGCCTCTCATAAGAGGTACTCTGAAAGCAAAGCCTAACTAAAGTATATCTTGGGCTTAATGCAAGTTACTGTGGATTTTGCTTTGTGGTTTTCACATGGCTCTGTAAAGCAGTCACTGCTGACCTTTTGCAGTTTAGCTTCTCTCCGGATGCTGAAAGTTAGATGTTCCTAAACCCTGCAGAACACAAGACTTCTTGCTGCAGCTGGAGGAAGATGGGATATAATGCTGCCAAGGAATAAGAACTGGCACAGTGACTCACATCTGCAGGACACCAGGCAAGAGCTGCACTGTGTAAGCAAATGTAAGAGTGAGCTACTGGTGGTTAACTAATTAGTGACCCCTAATTAGTGTAGCTGGTTGTACTCTACTCTTCCTACTTGGAAAGAGTCAGTGTTACCTTACTAATGCCAGTCAACAAGTTCTCATGATCACCTCAGAAGCATATGCAAACTTGAGATAAAGAATATAATTCTAGAAAAAATTTCCCAGGCAGTGCATGACCGTTGCTTCTGAAATTGTGCACCTATCAGATGTTGCTTTGCTGTCTGTAAAGAGCTACTGTGATGGAGAGGACACTGATTCCTTTCTTCATACTTATGTGCTTGGAGACACAAAGCTCAGTCACTTTCCAGTGGAAAGAATCTCCTGACATGGAGAGAATAGAGAACAACTGTTTAATTCCTTCTAGCTAGTGAAGGACTTGCTGTAGAGGTGGAGTCAGTGGGGGTACAGTAGAAATGAGAACATGTACTCCTGAACTCAAGGCTGTAAATGGTATCACTGTAATCTCTCCTGATAAAAATTAAGCCTTTGCACTCCAGAGCCTAGTGCATCTTACCCCTGACCATTGATCAGGGCAGACAACCTAAGTACACTTCAACTGTCTAGCATCTTGTTGCACAAGAGGACTGGCAGATGGCTTGAGACATCCTGTGCATTTTGCACTTTTCTGGTCACTGGGAGCTGAGCCCTTCAAAATGCAGGGGTCTCAAGCACTCCACTCCCACTCCCCCCTGCTTAAGAAAGCAACTGGTACTCAGACTTGCCCTGCAGTGGAAGCTGGTGTCTGTCAAAAATGCCCTGGCTTTGATCTCATGCTGCACTGGGTTGAGTTTGCACGAGGCTGATACAGATTCTGTATGTATAGGGCATCGGGATTTGTGGGTTAAACTCTGGTTGTAGTTGCTCCCTTGGACAGATCTAGGGTAGAGCTGTTCTCTTCCCATGGACAGAAGATTCTATCAAGTAGAGACTTCTATCCTCTCTGTGGGCTCTTCTGCTTCCAGGGCAGCAGGATTAAGTGGCTTGTGGAGGATACCAGAGGTTATTAACTAGCAGTGACTTGGATTTGGTAAGCAGTTACAGAAGCTCTAGGTATAGGAAACAACTGTCCTAGTGCCGGGAATTGAGACAAATTTGCTGACAGTCTCTTGCTACAGCCTGAATAACACATCCTGTGTACTTTGATAGGAGTGGCTAAAGCCCAACTGAGGAAACGTGGTTTGAAAGTAAAAGCAAAACTTTGCCACTGCTCTATTCATAAAGTGGGGAATTGAAAATAGCCTTTCAGCTATGAAAAGCATTTTTTTGTGTATTGCAAACAAGATCTAGCTATTTGTGCTTTTTTGACATAACACTAATGACTGTTGCTTTAAAGGATGTTAGGCTTTTAACTCTTGGCAGGTATAGTCCCATGCAGTGCTGTAAGCAGGCTAATGAAGACAGTTACTAAACATACAAACAAAAAAATTAGAAGCAAATGAACATACAATACTTCCCAGGCTTTAGAGATAAACTTGTTAGCAGGTCTGTCTTTAAATTAAAAGTCTATTTGGCTTATTACAGAAAATCACCCTTGACTAGCTACAGGGATGCTGGTTAGGTTACACTGGGATTAGACTACCGTCAGGTTTATCTTTCTCTCTACGAAAGACACTTGTGGAATCAATTCAGAATTTGAAGGCAGAAGATTTGCTGCATTTGAACATCTTTAGGCTTTTATCACTCTTGATCTGGACTTCAGTGAATTGTGACGCACAATCTGCCTTGTGTGTGAGTCAGTGAGGAGATGACAATACCCTCCTGGAAAGATTTTTCAGTGACTTATCTGCTGCTGCATGGAACATCTGGGGTTAGTGGGTTCTCTGACCCTTACAACCTAAAGATCAGACAGTTGTCCTCTATTAATTTTCTGTCAAATAAGTCCATGTAACAGACTATTTGTGACACCTGCACTGATCTGACTGATTAGGCAGTGTTAATGCTTATCAGTGTTAACAAGTTACAGTAGAGGATGTCGTTCTACAGACATGATCCCCAGTTCTGTTCATTACCTCTAGCATGATACTCTAAAGGCAACTATTCTTCCTGGTTTCTAGAAATTGTCTTAAAACTACCATTAAAATGAGCACATGAGAGCACGCTTCAGCCATTAAAGCTGGTACAGCTATGCAGGCACGAGGTCTCTTCGGTGTCTCCATGTAACTCTGTTCTCTTACGGCTGGTTGAAAAATTTCATGTCCAGGGAAGAGTCATCTGAAATCCGCTGTGTGCAAGCTCCTTTTGACCCATATGGGGATGGAAAACAGCAAGAAAATAACCCCAGCTGATTGCTATTAATCAAAATTCAGGGGAGTTGGACATGAGTACACTGGTATCCCTGCAGAATGATGTGAGATTGGATGTGCCAAGGTCTAGTTTTGCCAACTTCTAACCAGCTAAGCTTCCAATAGACAAAAGGTGCAAATGTGATTTGCTCTGTCACTTGAATCTAGTAGTGGGGTCTGAGTTAAAGGAATAAAGTTTGTATATCCAACTCCTCTTCATGTTGCAGAGTGGAGATGTCTTTACCAAGCTGCCTCAGTGCTCATGCTATAAAAAAGTGACTTGTTCATGTTAACAAAAGAGGAAGTGGATGACTCGCACCATAAACCAGATATTGTTTAGTCACCTACAGAAAGCTCTTTACTAGCTGCTCCAGAAATGGGTTACAAGGCCAAATGTATAAATTGTGAAGAGCAGCTGGTTGCCAAATTCACTTTATTAGTAATCATCCGTCTTATGAACAGAGCAGTGCTAGAACCTAAACCGTTAACTGGCTTTGCCCTGAATGTAAACTTGATCAGCAGACCTAGTTTTAGGAAATATTTTTCTCAGGCCAAATGAAGGGTTTGGAGATGGGGGATACCCTGTGCTGTAGAAAGAGCAAGTTTGTGCCTCCTAGGTTGGATATGCCAGTGACTGGCAGTGTCAGTCAGTGCAGAGCGCCAAGGACATTTCCCTCCTTCCTTGCTGTAGCACAATTCTTTTGGACTCTCAGTACATGAAACCAAAGTCAGGAGTTTGAAAAGCATATTGTAACTAAGGCTGAGAGCAGAAAAAAAGGTCTAGGGAGCTGGTACTTTTCAGATATTTAGGTGATATGCTTTTGGCAGCTTGGACTTGATGATAAGCCTCTGAGATACCCTTTCTTGTCCAAATGCTGAGCAGACAAAGCATGGCTTCTGTCACCAGGGAACACATTAGGATTGTCGATTAACACAGCCACTGGAAACTGAAAACTACAAAACTATAACCCGATATGGGTAATCTAACTCTTGCCAGTCTGGGCTTAGAGACTCAAATTCTTAGGGGCCTGGCTGAATTTACTTACTGTTTGGAAAATACCTTTAACCTTCTTGGATTTATAGTTAATGGGTAACTGGACCCCATTGCTCCAGAATGCCTGATATCCTTCTTGTACAGGGATTTAGTTAGTTACTAGCTGGCATACTACTCACTGACTAGGTTCCCTTGATTCTGCATGAAGGAATTTGAAAGATGTGATCATCTATGTCGCAAAGTGTGATGTGTGTCATGTCCTGCATACCTATTTGGATACTAGCAAAGATAAGTTGGTGAGATCCAAGTTGATTCATACAAAAAGCAGTCACCTGTACTAGATTTGTCTTGGCCATTCACTCCTAAACATACATTTTAAAGTATTTGTTTTTAAGGTGGGAGGTTGAGGTAGATGTATCTTTGCCTCTTGTAAGAAATCCTGCATTCTCAGGTTTTGTTTCTGTGCCCTTGAAGAAAGAGACTCTGGAGGATAGAAGCACCAGAACTGCTTCTGAATTTCCCAGCTAGACTTCCGTTGCACACATTGACTTGCAGGTTGTCACCTCCTACTGGAAAGTGACTTTCACAGTTTTGTTTTGTGCTGTATTTCATGCTGAACACACTTTCACTATCTGAAATACTTGTCCAGCATAAGCCCTGCTTTCCAGTAAGAGCTGGAAAGATCATGAAGATGCTGCTTGTCCTGCAGACTTATATATGTAGGTGTAACAAAGATGTAATTTAGCAGTACCCCTACTGTTTTAGCAATACCCCCTCCTATTTGACAGCTATAATGTTGAGGAGTTTTCTTACTTCCACCATTTGCATCACTGAACTGTAGGCATTTTTTTTGGTTAGATTTTGGGAATTTACCTACTAGTTTTTCCCAGGCAGATTTTCACTGTTGAATAGAAAGAATTGACTTCTGTTCCTTGTCTGACTTCCATCAGGCTTCAGCTTTTTGTGGAGGTGGATGCAGCATAGGTTAAGATCTACTAGGACAGGTGACTTGAGATCTCTTAAGAGGCTTAAAGCATTGCATACCCGTGCTTCATTATTGTACCAAGACTCTTTAGCAGCAAACTGCTGAAATGATTTGTAGTACTGCTTAACAAACTACTTAAGTAACCATGGCTCATAGGTAGTGAGTGCTTCTAACTCATGTCTACTAAACCTCCGGTTTGTTTCAGGTTCAACTCTGGCCCCACTGATCCACCACAATGATCTGGATACTTCAAGTCCTGTTCTCACCGCTCCCAACACCAGCACTGATTAGTCTTATTGTGTTTGGAGCGGGCATCTTCCTGTGGGTGATAAGCAGGCCAAAACCTGTTTTGCCTCCTGTTGACTTGAACAAGCAGTCAATAGGAATTGAGGTAATACTTACTTTGCTTGTGGGCATGGACTATTTTTGAGCTTAATCTGAATACTGATCCATTCTCACTCTGTGTATCAGTGGAAACTCTCCCATCTGACATACACAGCCTTCTCTCCCAGGTGTACAACTCAAGAGTATGGTGGGGAGAAGGGAAGTCTTAAGACACTAAAAGTAAGAAACAGCAACTCTTGCTAACAGTGTTAGGTGGGCCTTTTATCAGATGGCCTTGGCTGTCACTGACTTTTTCCTGTATTTTAAATGCTTTCCATGAGCTTTGAGGCTGGTGCTTGGCTTCATGTAACAAGGCAAGAGGTAGCAATCAAACTTGGTCAAGGTCTTCTAATAACCTGTAATTGAATATTCATCTAGGTCATCTAGAAAATTCCTCTGCATATGACTGGTGACTGAATAGATCAAAATCGGGAAGGAAAATGAGACTTCCCTAGCAATGCAATGCTATTGAAATGCTTTAAAGGGGATTACTGTGAGAACAGCTGAGGAACAAAGGACATTACATCTGTTCTGCAGTGTTTCACAACTGTGCTCTGTTTCTAGGGAGGAGCCAGAAGAGGTGCACTCTTGACAGACAATAACCTGCTTTCGTATTACTTTGAAGATGCTAAAACCTTGTATGAAGTTTTCCAGAGAGGATTGCATGCTTCTGGTAAGCTTTGCATCTGCTAGTTTGTACTCGACTATCACAAGTAAATACAATTATTCCAAGCTCTTTTTGCCTTGCCTCTTGTCTGTAGTAATAATTCAGGCTAGCAAAAGCTTTCTTAGCCTTCTGTGGGGTGCAGTGACAAGTGACAATATTGTGCCGCCCCCTCCCCCCCACTAATTTAGAAGTAGTCTTAGTTGGCAGACTGGGCAAGAACAAACATCAGAAGTGAAGGACAGCAGAGTTCAGGGAAGAGTCAGCAGGTACTAAGCATCAGACGGAGTTGGGGGGAAGCACCTCTATTTTGTCTTATGATGTGGGTTTTGGTGTAAAAGTACTGCCTGCTTACAGCAGGTATGAATTTGTGCAGATGTGACTTCAGGGGTCCCACGCATGGAAGTCTGTGACAGCTCGCAAGCTATTTCAATCTCACGTGGGTTGTGAAATGAGAAAACATCACCAGATCTTGGAAGTATTGCTTGTAAGGATAAAGCCAACAGTTTTACAATTTTGGTTTGGGCAGAGTGCTTAACTATGGACACTGTGCATTTCCATGCTCCATGCAGTTAGCTGGATGTCTGACTGAAAATATTCCCCACCTAGTGTTGCATTGAAGCACTATGCAACTTCAGTACTGAGCTTCACAATTGCTTTTCTGAACTCTTCCATTAGGAAATGGCAACTGTTTAGGCTACAGAAAACCCAAACAACCTTATCAGTGGCTGACATATAAACAGGTGAGTATTGTACCTGACAGCTGATTTAGTTTGGGATACAGTCTTGTAACACTAAAGTGTGGGAAAACTGTCTTACAGGTTTTGGACAGAGCTCAATACCTGGGATCAGGGCTTCTGCAGAAAGGATGCAAACCATCATCAAACCAGTTTATTGGCATTTTTGCCCAGAATAGGCCAGAGGTAAGCAACAAACTGAATATTCCTTCCCAGAATATTCTGACACCTTGAGGAGAGAGGAGGGTCCGTATTTAAATAGCTTGAGGCCACATGAGGAACAATCACAACTGGCTTCTCCTTTCCCAGTTCCCTTATTACTGACTGAGCACATACCATGCCAGGCATGTAATAGAATGATCTTGAACCCTCACCACTCCAAGAATCTCATGGGCATGCCCCTTCTACAACCCACACTCCTAATGTGTGGATGGGCTAGTCAAGTTGTATGGAATATGCAGGTAATCCTGTCTTGTGAGCTGCTGGTTTTCCTTATCTCTGCTGTTTTCTCTCTTCAGTGGATCATTTCAGAGTACGCCTGCTATACTTACTCAATGGTTGCTGTTCCACTCTATGACACTCTGGGGATAGACGCCATTGTATACATTGTTAACAAAGGTAAATATTGACTTCCACTATTTGATTCTCTAAGAAGCTTTGTTTTGAGAAGGCTGAAGTTCAAGGAAATTTGATGCAAAAATCAAGAGTAGCTTTAAGCTTACTGGTGTTATACTTTTACATACACTTTATTTCTGTAAATAAGCTGCTTTGCAGAGGACATGGTTCAATGCCTAGAAGCAGCCAGTGGGCTTCCTATGTCTCCTAGTCTCTTGAGTGCAAGCCCACTGAAGACCTGCTAGATTCTGTGGACCATCTTGCAATCGGAGTGCTCAACTATTTGCTCTGTAAGGTTTTGCAATCTCAAACTCCCACACTGCCAAACAATCAGACAATGCAGACAGGCTTGCAGATATGTATGTCTCTGATTTAAAGTTGTAGGATGTAAATAGTGGAGGAGGGTGGGGAAAAGATATGCCTAAATCTGCTTAACCTATCTGGTTAGGGCCTATTATTCTACAGAAGCAACAAGTAGCACGCCATCATGGAAGAAACTGGTGAGGAAGCTTGAATAAATCTTCAAACTTTCATCCCCCAGTCTTAGGGGAGATGTGGAGGAATATCCACTGCTGTCACAATGATCTGTGATCCAACCTGTAAATAGGATTTGCTGGGCAAAATCACTTCAACAGTTATGCTGGTGCATCTTGTAAACAGGTCTTGCCTTGAGATTACACAGCTGTGATTTACTAGGCTACTGGGGAACTGGTATGTTCAGGCAAATCCAACTTCTCTGCTGACCTAATGGGAAATGCTTTTGTAATTGCATAAAGCTCTCTTGTACATGCAGGGAAGCTGAGGCACTAACTCAAGAATTTTAGCTATCATCTATCTCTTTCAAACAGGTCTAAATTCCTTTGGATTTAAGGAAGATGGCTAAACTTAAACAGCGAAGACAAATCTGAGCTTTTATGGCAATATCAAAAGTTTAAATGCCTGTCTTGACTGTGACTGAAGATATTTGTCTTCAGTTTCTTAGCATTTGTATAGCTAGAATCTTGAGTTTGCCCAATCAGTTGGCCATGGTAGGAGGAACCTTCTTAGCACTTGTAAGCCAGCCACTGAATCCACATGAAATACAAATGGCTTTAGAAGAAACTAATGCTATGTTCTAAATGTACGTGCTACTGAGCTGTCATTCACTAGGCTCATGTCTTCTAAACAGACATCTGAAATGTAATTTATTTTCTGTAGCTGACATAAGCATAGTGATCTGTGACACACCCGAGAAGGCACAGATCTTGCTTGAGAACTGTGAGCAAGAAAAGACCCCATGTCTGAAGACTATCATTCTCATGGATCTCTTTGATAAAGAGCTCAAGGACAGAGGAGCTAAAATGGGAGTTGAAATTCTAGCACTGCAGGAGGTTGAGGTAGGTGACTAAAGGCTTGTGCTTGATGTTGCAGAGGAATACTTTGCAGGTTAGACATCTGGACTTTTCTCTGACAATAATGACACGTTAAGCATTATCCAGTTGTCACACATGTACCTGAGATCTGGATAAGCCAAATGGACTTGCAGACTTCAACCCATTGACTAAAGTTGTGTCTGTATGTTGTGGACAGTCAGTATGCATTAAACTCAAGACCTCCTTAGCTTAATTCATGGTGCAGTTGTAACAGGATTTATCAGGCTTCTAAGCTGGCAGTTGAGTCTAATTGAAACTGTAAGTGCAAATTTCTGACTGCTTTGACATCCCAATACTAGGCTTAATCTGCCAGATATGATGCATAAATGCATCATATGTATGCATCTCTTGTAAAAGAGATGTGGCCTACATCAAATAAAATTAAATATCTCCACTTAAGGCTTCCAAATTCCTTAAGTAGTTCTGATCACTTTCTACACACTCAAATTTATGTATTCCACAACTCCAGGAGTCAGCTTTTCCAAGTTGTGTGTATTAAATTCAAGAAGACCAACATCTCTCTCTGACTGAGGCAGAGTATCAAGAAGTAAAGAAAAAACAAGTGTTGCATTTGAAATGTGATTACCCATTCATCTACTGTTGTTGCAGTCTTTCTGTTGCAATTGTTAAGCTGCATTTTCTCTCTATCACAGGAGCTGGGAAGAAACAACATCAGAGAACCAGTTGTAAGTATCTCTGGGACAGTTATAAACTTGCAAAACTAGTCTGAAAAGACTTCTTGCCATGCTGCTAGTAGAGGAGGCTGGCAGGATTTTTTTTGCATCTTATCTTGCTGTTTCTAAACAGAATTCCTGGTTCATCACACTTTAGGAAGTGTATGTAAATACTGATAAGCCTCATAATTCTTACTCTGCTGACATTATGTGGCTTTTTCACTCTAGCCTCCTAAGCCTGAAGATCTTTGCATCGTGTGTTTTACCAGTGGAACCACAGGTAAGATAATACATAGTGATACTTTCCCACTAAAATAATCTCTCTGTGCTGAAAAAAAATAAGCTTTCCAGCACAAAAAAAAAAAAAAAAAGAGGAAATGCTAACAACATAAAAGTAAAACAGTAAATTAGAACAGTGTCAGGCCACTACCGCAGTTTTACTTGAGACATTGTCACTAGAAATCAACTACACTAAGACAAAGCTGCTTAGAGCTGGGGGGGAAGAATAGCCAAATTCATGTTGAATAGCCAAATTCATGTTGTCTTACCCTATTAAAAATACAGTCTTAATGTTAGTTTGCTTAGCTGTGTCTGTATTCTGATCCACAGGGCCTAGAGAAACATCTTGTTTCAACATTCTCTATGCTATTCCTAATTACTCTGCTGTTTCAGTGAACATTTTGGTAGACATTTCCTTCATATAGTATCTATAGCTGCAAGCTCTGAAGATGAGGCATATTTGTGATTGCTTAAGACAATGCATGCTATGACTGAGCCTAATACCAAGACAGTACAAACGGAGCCAAACAAGACTTGGGAAACTGACAGTAGAAGCAGGCAGAGCCACAGCTGACTTGACTCAATCTCTTCAAAGGTAATCCTAAAGGAGCCATGCTGACACATGAAAATGTTGTTGCAAATGCTGCTGCCTTCCTTAGAACCACAGAGGTAAGCTACTACTAATGGTTATCTCTAGGCTATGTCACTCAGTCATAAAACTAGCTTTAATGTGGGCATTTTCTGACAACCATTTGCTCTTAGCAAACTCATGCTTTCATAAGTGTCCATATTTCAATGGGACAATAGTATTGCAAGAAACTTGGTTTAACCTTGAACAAGAACTTCTACATGGAAGTTATTCTAGAATGAATCAGTCTTAAATGCCAAGAGTACTAAACTACACTATTTCAGGTCTTGCAAAAACATACAACTCATCTTGATCTAGTACGGCTGCAGATTTTGAAGAGGTGATGGATGAGTCTGAGTTGCTTCAGTCATTTGAAGTGTCTGTTTCAAAGTACTCGAATTGACACAAACTTTATTCACTTTCTACTTAAGAGTAATGCAAGGAGGCATAGGGAGTGCTAACCTACTTCTGATTCTTTCCCTTCTAGAACACAGTTGAGCTTACAAGTTCAGATATCACCATATCCTACCTTCCCTTGGCTCACATGTTTGAGAGAGTTGTACAGGTAAGTAGACTGCGTGCATGCTACTAAGCTTCTATAGAAGATCTTGGATGTATGAACTAGTTCAGACAGTAAAACTTATTAGAATCCATACCTAAATGGCTAAGACCACCTGCCAAAAATAAAACCTCTGAACTGACTAAATAATGCCTAGTTACTTCTCCAAGATATGGCTACTATCTTTATTAAAGTCCAGCCTCACTGAGTCTGATTTACTAAGAAATCAGCAAGGGAAATCAGCAGCATCAAGACCTTAGTCAAACACAGTGAAATCTAATACATGAAGAGGAAGCAGTTTAAGACCAGTGGATGTAGTACTTGGAGGTAAACAGTGGTATGTTCTCCCCTGTTTACTCTGCCGGGCTGTGTCATCCTGCCTGTTTCCTAAGCTGAAGTTCTAGTCTTCGAATTAATGCACTTCTTCCAGCGTGCTGTATAAGTAAGGGTTCCTATAGGGAACACTAGCAACTTTGTGGCAGGATCTAACTCTTCTACGTGTAATGGTCTCCAGAACAGTCTCTTAACCTCAATTCCCAACCCAGTATTTAAAACAGAATGTGTCTTGTCCTATTCCTTGTCAAGCTGTTACATTCTTCTGCTGCCTTGTATTTAATTTTCAAGGTATCTCAAGAGATACTAAAACAGAATAGCTGTTAAAAATGTGGTGAAGCTCATATTAATTGTATTCAACCATAATATTAAACTTTGTTCCATGGTGCTCATGGACTACAAATCAAAGTTGCATGCTAGAACTTAAGTCTATGCATTGGAGCTTCTATAAATCAAATTATAGTAAAATAGTATAGTATTATAATTAAAGTAAAATTATAGCCTTCTGTATTTCCTCAAAACCTATTCACACAACAGCTTTCCTGCCCCTGGGCACTGGAAAACATGCTGCTTTTCATCGACAAATAATTATGGCTAATAAAGTTAGGAGTTATCCTTTGACTAGGCTTTGTCTGGTCAATTTTTAGACTGTTTTGTACAGCTGTGGAGCAAAAGTAGGCTTCTTCCAAGGAGACATCAAGTTGCTAACAGATGACATGAAAATGTTGAAGCCAACCCTATTTCCAGTTGTACCAAGACTGCTCAATAGAGTATATGACAAGGTATGTGAGCAACTTTAGCTGAATTCTCTTTGCGTTCATAAATCTAAGCAAGCATACAGGTTTGAATTAATATTGAATGCATCATAACATCACCACTAGTTTTTTTTGAAGAGTTCTTTAAAGTCCTTTCTGAGGAGATGGAAAGAGTCTTGAGACCTGGTGTATAAGAACAGTATATCCAGTCATGACTGAGCTAAGTCTGTTGCTCTTCACAAAATGTTTACTTTTGCTATGCAAATGAAGCAAGTGCAAAGCTAGAAGGATGCCTGTCCCTCAAAGCTATGGCTGAAGTATGTCAGCAGTAACACGAATTAGTATTGCCCCTTGGTTTGTCTCCTGGACCATGGCAGTAGTCAAGGCAGACCCTAGAACATCAAAGTAAGTTATGGTGCCTTCTAAAAAAAACAAGAGCTGGAGGTACAGGTGGGAATTAAACTCAAGAGTCAACGATACTTTTGCTTGCAGATACAAAGTAGTGCCAAGAGCCCAGTGAAACGTTGCCTGTTAAACTTTGCTGTGATTATGAAGATGGCTGAAATAAAACAGGGCATAATTCGAAATGACAGCATTTGGGATCGGCTAATCTTCAAAAAAATTCAGGTAAGTTATTCCAAGTGTAAGTAAGTGGAACAACCGTAGTATTGGAGGATCTGATGGCTTCTATTCCACTTGTAGGAAACCATGGGTGGAAAAGTGCGTATAATGGTAACAGGCGCGGCCCCTATATCTCCCTCTGTCCTGACATTTCTTAGAGCAGCATTGGGCTGTCAGGTAAGTTGAGGTGTTTTTCTTAAAGTAAGACCTGTTTGATTATGCCCAAATAAGTGACCAATGATACAGCTGTGGTCCAGCCCAGCTTGGTCCTGCAGATATTGCTGTCATTCTTCAGTATTTACAGGCTGCTTTATCTGAGTTAACTCTAACAGGAACAATATTCTGTAGGGCTGGTTTCAAACTACACTACCAAAAAAACTATCCAGTAGGCTCTGCGAAGAAGAATAGAGCAACAGAAATAGGAACATGAAGCACTCAAAGTCAGGCAGCTGCCTCTAAGCTTTGTGGCTTATCCTGACAGTCAATGATCTCCCAAGGCAGTAAATTTGAGCACAGAGTTCTGAGAGTGAGGTGACCAAAGCAAGGTTTGGATAGGTAAACTTGAAGAACATCTGGTTACACCAATAAGACCATGAAGTCTTAACAGCTAAGATTGTCTTGGCTTCCTTCCTAAGAAGACTTGAGTATGGGCATAGTTCAAACTGACCTCTTTCATGCCAAGGACTTGACGTTCAAAGAATATTCATCCTTTCTCCCACAGATCTTTGAAGCTTATGGCCAGACTGAATGTTCAGCTGGATGCACTTTCTCAATGCCTGGAGACTGGACAACAGGTATGGTAGCTGAGACTTGGAAACTCTCCCACAGCTGTCAACAGAAGTGGCACTCAAGCTTAGGTGCCCTGCTGCTTTTACTTCAATGAAAGTTAAATCCTGGGTACTTAACTTCAAAGTGATTCTTGGTAGCAACAGTCACCTGTATGCTTAATAGTTACCAAAATTCTTGACTCAGGTAGGTGAGGATCTCTTGTGTAAAGTGACATAGGTAAGCTTAGATGCTGTCCCAGTGTACAGGAAAGGAGTGTCTGTACAGAGGGAGCTGAGCAAACTGGACAAGGACTTCCCAAATGGCTTTAAGAAACTAGCTTTAGCTCCCAAATAACTTGTTTTACTTGAAGATTTATAACTAAAATATCAGACATCATGATACATGATAATTGACTACTTTCCTGAAGGACTACCTGACCTTGAAGATTTAGCTTTCATCTTAGAAAGGATATTTTCAGTGTTGACTATTCTAAATCCAAGTTCAGGTCACCATCTTTGAGAACACAAGAACTGCAGAGCATAATAGGGATGAAATGCAAATGAATACCAGGGTCTCTGAGAGAATTCTGTGGAAGCAAGTGTGGTACATGTGATTACACCAATAAATGGCTCTAGGCATTGAGACTTAGCTGCCACCTAACCTACATTAACTGTCTAAAAACGGCATTACAATAACTTTCTTGAAAATTTAGTGTCAGACTCCTTTAAACAGTACTGGTTCTTGCTAAAGCAGTGAACGAAGAGCCATTAAGTATCTACTATTACCAAAGTCTTTCAGATGTAGGGAGCACCTGAGTTCTCCCATCTCACTTCAACATCTAGTCTTTCTAGCTTTAGATCAAATAGGGACAACTGCTAGCAGAATCCCCAAAATGTAACTCTATTTTTTTTTTTTTACCTCTTAGGCCATGTTGGAGCCCCTCTGGTTTGTAATATCATAAAACTAGATGATGTGGAAGAAATGAACTACTACTCTTCTAACAATGAAGGCGAGGTAGGTACCATCTCCTCTGTGTGTCAGGAAATACTGAAACCTAAGCCTTGGTGACTAAGAATGTTCTGTGCTTGCTCTAGGTCTGCATTAAAGGACCAAATGTGTTCAAGGGTTATCTGAAAGACCCTGAGAAGACAGCAGAAGCAATTGATAAAGATGGCTGGCTCCACACTGGAGACATAGGGAAATGGTTGCCAGTGAGTAATTGCTTAATACAAACCATCCCTTGGATGTGAATTCCTGGCTAGTTTACAGTAATCTGAAAAGCTGGAGAAGTGAATTCTAGGATAAAAGCCTTACACGGTATTTTGTTACCATTCACTAAGTAACTCCAGGCAAAGCTCCAAAGACCAATTAGGTTACAAGATCTCAAATAACACCTGCTAGGCCAGTAGTTAAGCCTATGTCACTTCCACAGAGAACAACAAGGTGTCTTGGTTTCTGTCCAAAGAGTATAAAGAAGCTGTCTAATTGTGTCCTGAGCTAACCGGAGAAATTAGACAAAGTGCCCCTTCTCTCTGTATAGAGCAAAGACCAATTCCAGACTAGTATGTGCCTTTCATACAACAAAACCAAACCTATTATCTTCTACTTATAGAAGCAAGACGGAGACTTGAAACTAATGGCCTCCATCTTTAACTTCTAGAATGGAACACTGAAGATCATTGACAGGAAGAAGAATATATTTAAACTTGCACAAGGAGAATACATTGCTCCAGAGAAGATAGAAAATGTCTATGTCAGAAGTGCTCCTGTAGCCCAGGTCTTTGTGCACGGGGAAAGCCTGAGGGTAAGTAATGTTAGCAGTGAGCATCCTGCAAGATTCCTCCTACAGTGAGTTCTGTAAGATCAGGGTACATATGTATGTACATACAAGAGTCCTTGAAAAAGACCTGTTTCTGACAGTGCTATGTTTATAGGAATATTCTTTCAGACCTATATCCTTCTCAACTGACACCAAAGAAAAGGAGGTCTTGGCATCAAGTTGCAAGCTGGGTAAAGGCTATTTACATACTTATATGGAATTAGTATGTCAAGTCAGGTCAGCTCTGTACATGGATTGGGTTGGAAGGGACCTTTAAAGGTCATCTAGTCCAAGCCCTCTGCAATGAGTAGGGACATCTTCAAATAGATCAGATTGCTCAGAGCCCAGTTTTGCCTGACCTTGAATGTTTCCAGGGACAGTGCATATGCCACCTCTCTGGGCAACACGTGTTTCACCACCACCCTCATTGAAAAAAATTTCTTCCTTATAATCTAGTGTATATCTACCCTCTTTTAGTTTAAAAACGTTACCCCTTGTCCTATCATAATAGGCTTTACTAAAAAGTTCGTCCTCATCCTTCTTATAAACCCCCTTTAAGTACTGAAATGCTGAAATAAGGTCTCCCTGGAGCCTTCTCTTCTCTAGGCTGAACAACCCCAACTCCCTAAGCCTTTCTTCATAGGAGAGGTGCTTTCACACTCTTTTGCCACAGACTCCTTTGTCACCCATGATAGCAGAAACCAGTCTTTCAATCTGTAAACCAGCCAGAAGTAATTACTGGAGCACTCAGCACACATAACAAACTGCACTAGTATTCCAATTACTGCTGTCAGAACTCAGATAAATGACTTGAAAGTGCTTGTAGCTACCTTCCAAGTTCTGGAAGTGGATGGGGCTGTAGATGTGGCTTGTTATGGAGACACTGTCCCCAGTCAAGTTTACATAGACAATCAAAAGTAATTTCAGATTACTTATCTTGGTCTCAGTATGACTACTTCCTCTTGTTTTCAGTCTTTTCTAATAGGTATAGTGGTTCCTGATCCTGAGACACTTCCAGAATTTGCAGCAAAACTGGGAGTAAAAGGTTCCTATGAAGAGATCTGCAAAAATCCAGTGAGTGGCTTTCTGTTTCCAGTGGGTTACAGATAGAATTTAATTCTGAAGTCCAATCTTGCATTACTTTGACTTTGTTCTACCCACCTTTTTTTGTAAATTAAACTGTTTTAATGCTGGGTGAGTCTGCAAGTAGCCTTGTAATAAAAACTGGAACTGAGCATAGGTGTCTTCTGATGTTTCAAGGGCTATCACTGCTTCTTTTACAATGAGAAGATAGACGTGACCTTGTAGTGGCCTTAATATAAGAAATCTTGAATGTTGAAATATGTATGTGTATTCTTGCCAACATCACTTTTCACTGACTGGCTAAGGGGTATGATCTTGAGTTGCAATTACAAACTGACAGCTCTTACCCACTCTGTTCCCGCTCTGTTTCTTCTAGGCAGTGAAGAAAGCTATTTTAGAAGATATGGTCAGACTGGGGAAAGAGGCTGGTCTTAAATCCTTTGAACAAGTGAGTGCTTCCAAATCCTGCTTGTCACAAGCACCTGTATTGCTAATGCAATGGCTGGGAAGTCTTCACTCCTGTTGCCAGCTGTGTCAGGATGTGACCTAAGACATCTGCGCCAGACAACTGATTGAAGTAGGCAGTGAAACATTGCCTGGTTGCCTGTCTCTTCACCAAGGTACAGAGCAACCTTAGCAATTGCCATGAGATGGAGCAGACCTTCACCATAGGCTGCAGGAGCTGTACTGCAGTTCCAGCCCATCCTTTTGCTGTCAGCCAAAAGGAGTTTGACTTGCACCAAAAAAACCTGTGCTCCTGAGACTGAGTTCTTGCACTGAGCTCAAGGAAGCTGGAAAGAACAGTTTTTTTGCCCTCTAAGTAATTATGTTATTTTCTTTTAATAGGTTAAAGACCTGTACATCCACACAGAGATGTTCTCTGTAGAAAATGGACTCTTGACACCAACACTGAAGACAAAGCGAACAGAGCTTGTTAAACTCTTCCAGAAGCAGATTGATGCCCTCTATTCAAGTACACAGGAATAAGTGGCCAGTTTAAATTAAACTGCATGGAGTATCCAAACAAATCTGTGATCCTACATGACCTATGGAGAACACAGGCATGAGTGGAGGGGAGCAAGAAGAACTTAATATATTGTTTTCTGGTATCCTGGTAAAAATGACTTTCAGATGAAGATGGCTGTAGTATAACTTACAGCCGCCAGTGTTCACATCTTGCCTGACTAAGCATCAGCTGTCTAGGCAGAGCCAGAACTTTAATCTTCCTTGGACTGTCACTGAAATGTAAAAAACCTCAAGAGCCTTAGCCTCTAAAAGGCAGCTGTATGCACTTCTCACAGTCAGAAGCAAATCTTGTTTTCCTGTTCTATGAACTCCATTATGACCTTTTGGGGATAGATCTGCAATCAGACTGAACTCTTTCATGGAGTTATGTGTTTCTGGGAAGCAAGTCTTGTTTTCCTGTTCCAACTATGAACTCCATTATGACCTTTTGGGGATAGATCTGCAATCAGACTGAACTCTTTCATGCAGTTATGTGTTTATGAGGTGGGGGGGAGGAGATAGTTCACAAACCAAGTGCAGAAATATAACACTTCAGTTTCCACATGGGATGCTATAACCTGTCTCAAGTCAAGCTGTCACAATACAAACTGCAGCTTAACAGAAGTGAATTTCCTGTTCCTAGCCTTGGACCACACAGTATAGGTTGCTTTTAATGAAAATTACTTGTTTGGCATCAACTGGTTTACAGAGTGCATGTGTTTAAAGCAAATAGTTTATACTCTAGTAGGGGAGGCACTGGATCGGTTTTTGAACATGTTCTCAAATGCAATGGCAGTTATAAAGCCTCTACACTTAGGAATTTGAGCACGGTTTAGCTGTTGTTCCCAATGATATAGGATGCAATAAATTGTAACTGCACAATCAAACCAAAGCCTGTGTGAGTGACTTGTTTCTCTGCTGCTGCCTCATTATGTTAGCTGCAGCTGGAACACAACTGCTGCAGAGAGCTAACTCTCTTCCTATGCTGCCACAGCTCAGCCACAGCTCAAGCCATGAGACAGTAAGATAGCGCCAGACCAGACGTTACTACTCAACTTTCCTTTTCTTGTAGTAAGGCAAGATGTGCCCAAGTCTTCAGCCTGAATTCATTCTTTCAGCTCAGCCTACCCCATGAAATAAGGCATCATGTATCACTTTCTAAGGCTAAAGCTGTTTCTCTAGAACACTGTCTCTATGTTTAGAAACAGCTTCAATTAGTGTATGCTGTCTCTGCTGACAGCTTCTCCCTGTCCCTGGAGTACTCTGCTCTATCAGTCTAAAAGGCAGTGCACTGCTAACAACGATGTTAACATGTACAGCTAGTTGCTCTTCCTCTCTGCATTTAATGTTCTTGGTCACATATCCCAAAATGAAAGCAAGCACTAGATTTGTTGGTCAGGAAAGACCCACCCCTTGCTGTAAGGCATCTCTAGCTTTGACTAGTAAAAAAACTGACCTGATTGTGTTTCTAGTCTAAGCCCAAAGACCTTGACCTTCGCCGGTAACTGTTCTGTCACTTATTGGGCTTGTCATAACCTGAGGCTATAAAGGCTTCTAAGACTCTTAAAGCACATGTAACTATGCTGCTCATCTTTCCCATTTCCCTAAGGCAATGTGACTTGGAAGTTAAGAGGGCTTAATCTTTTTCCCCAGGTGAGACTAGGGAGAAAGACGGGAACCAGAGGGAAAAAGAAATGTATATTTAACTGGCTGTAGGTTCTGACAAGCATTTGAGTTGGGGACAGTACTGTACTTTGTACAGGTCCCTTTCTAATACAGCAGAGATACTTTCTCTTCTGGAAGAGGAAACACCTCAGTCTCTGAACTTGGTTTACTCTTAATGGCAATTAAGCCTCTTCTCACAGTGGCAAGCAGCAGTGCTTTAGATTTTTCATGTCTCTGGCATCTGCTGGTAGCTGTTACAAAGACTGAACTGGATGGGTAATGGCACTGTCTGATCAATAATCCATATGTAACAATTCAAGTGTAAATTGATCTGAAACTGGTCTCTTGGGTGCTGCTTCTGCCATATGAACTGCTTTCACAACATAGATCTAAAGTGAAAACAGGAGTACTTTAGGCATGCTTGCACTGAAATGATGCAAAAATTGTTTCAAGATATTGAGAACTAAAGAAAGTTACCTACAGCAGGCTTGAAGCACTGTAATACCCAGTGAACAAAGATTTGAGCTAAGGATGGCTATAGGTGCAATGAAGTTCAGATTGCTGCAACTTTTTTTCCCATGATAAGAGAGACTGGAGCTAAAAATAACAGCTAGTCTTCTCTACTTGCTTTAAAAAGCTTTCATCTAGTAGCTATCCACTATGAATTGATCCATTCAGGCTGCAGCATAGATAGGCATACACAGTGAACAAGGCAGATATTAAATATGAGTATTGATAATATTATTTCCATTTATGTAGTAAATTGGAAGCAACAAATCTCAGGAAGCAGATTGCCTGGCTTAGGCTCTCCAAATCATGTAAGACTTGTATATCAAAAATACAATTTGTTAAATGTATTTTCTTTCCATCTCTGGGTAACAACCCCTGTGCCTGCAACTTAAGTGCTGGTTAGTCTCTTTTGGTCCTTATCCTGAGAGGAAGTGTTCAGAGGGAAATATTGACTCTTAATTCATCATTTGGCTTCAATGAGGTCATTTCAATCAATGGTTTCAAAACAAGTCTAGAATCATTCTCTAATGCTGTAGCTAGAAAACTCCATTAAAACTAAATAACCTGCAAATCCCTGGCTTCCGAGCATGAGATGTTCTCTTTTTCCTCCTGGTCACTACATTGCATTTGAAAAACTAATGCTATGGGAGATGCTTCAACTCTAGTGCAAGCTTGTATTTGCTCAACTCTTAAGAGATCTAGATTAAAATCAGAAGTCTCTTGGTTAAGACTATTGAGGGGAATGATGTCTTTTACTATTGGTAATAACCTCAAAGTTACCAGGCATGAGAACACCACAGCTATGTGTTTTGCACAGCATGTTGTGCATGGTAATCTATCCCTTTCCTCTTTAGGAACTGGGACACCTGGTACAGTCAGTGGCTTCACTCTGCAAAGGAGAGTCTCTAGATTGGAGGCCAAAGAGAGGGCAGATGAGTGGAAAGCATTGGTGGTTGAACAGGCTGCCTGAAATGTCCATTTAGCACAGCCAGTATTGTTTGCTTTTATGTCAGATTCTGTTTCTGTTTTGGTGCAACAACTGCCTAAACTAAAGTAGGTGACTATTTCTTACCAGCCTATTTAATTGCTTTCCTGTAAATAGGCGGGGCAGGGTTCCACTTCCGTATGCAGTTACCCTTACTTTCCATCATATTAGAGCCTGAGCTAGCCTAGCATGGCACTGCACGTCTAGACTTGCTCTTAAGATGACAAAAAGGATACAAAGCTTAAAAAAATTTAAATACAAATAGCAGTTCTTCCCTCAGGGAAAGCAAGAGATAGTTTAATAGTGCTAATTGCTGTGTGAAAAAGACAACTGCTTTTTGCTTCCCCCAAACTCGGCATCTCTAGGGATTTGAACCTTAGAGAAAATAATCTGAATTCCGTGATGAATCACAGCAGAACACAGAACAGCTATATCAAATCTATACCTGCTCCTTTCCTTAGTAAACAAAGGTCTTCCTTGAGCAAGATGTAGTAAGTAAAGAATGAAGAAGAAAAAAAGAAGGCAGAGTGTAATGGTAGAAAGGAAGAAAATCTACTAGTATTAAGAATCAGAGTTCCTTAGAGGTGGTTTGTCTTTAAACTTCATGCTCTCATAGTTTTCAGTAATGGAAAGACGGCTTGTATTTTCTTGTCTGCAGAATCTCTACATGCCTTTAAGGAGGTTATGTATGCATTTTTGTTTTGGATTATTCTTTGTAGGCAAGCACTGCTGAGTGAAGGTGGTGTAATGGTAAATAGAAACACCAGTTACTTAGGCTACAAAAGGGAAGAGGTGGGACTGAAGTTACAGCTACAATAAAAACAAGATGAAAGCTTGAGTCCATTTCAGTTTGTAAGCGCAATTCCAAAGCAGAGCTCCTGGGCATGCAGTAGTTCCGTGGTGATCTTGGTGTGCAAAATTCTGCTCAGATGAAAGCTGAAATCTAGTTGAAGATGCTCTTCAACCACTGAAAATTATCCAGTCCCCTGTAAACAGACCCCAGCTTACACAAATTCCTCCTAATAGCTAACGATCAGCTGTGGTCATTTGTGTTAATCTGTTCCTATTACACTGTTCAGTGCTGCCTGCTACTATAGATGGCACCTAGTTAATAGTTTCAAAGTCAAGAGCAAGAGATCCTTAGCTGCCAGCTTCCTCTACTCAAAGACAAGCTTATTTTTGTAACCTTTGGAGATCCTTAGCTGCCAGCTTCCTCTACTCGAAGACAAGCTTATTTTTGTAATCTTTAGTTCTAGATTCCACAGACACTGAACAGAAACTACTGCAATTGAGACTAAGAGTATTCCATGCAACTTGGAGGTTTTCACATTAATTTCCAAAATAGCTACATCCTGCTTTTTCCTGCTGAATTATGGCCTCTCAGCTCTTGCTAGCAAGGAAACTAGGAGTATGATACCTCTAATGAAGCCTTCTTCTAGAAAATAAGTGCTTCGATTTCAAGAGGGGCAAAGCACTTGCTTGCAGACCGCTGAAACTGAACACTAACTCCCCCTTGCCGCAGCTCCTAAACAGTGTAGGATTATGGCTCACCATGAGCACTAACACCTATCAGACTGGAAGTAACAAAAAACTGGCTCTGTGCTGGAGATGAAGAGTCCGAGTAGGGGCATACAGGAGTAATGCTGGTTTGTCCGTATGTAGTTATTTCTAAATATACTTAATAATGTTTAAGAAACAGTATTTCTCATTTGCCTGAGAAAACTCATGCAGGTGGAGCTACACCAGATGTTAACAACTCTCAACATGTGACATGCAACTAGACTAACTATGAGAGAACAAAACCACCTGTTGCATTTAGGATACATTTAGAAAGTCTTCAGCTGGTACAAGTTACTCTATTTTATAGTCTTTGTTCTAATAATCCACACCTGCTGCTAAATAAAAATGCTTTAGGAAAGGTGTTAATCACTTAGTAGCAACTAGGTTCACAAAAATTTTCACTATTGGCATTACTGCTCCCTTTGACTCTAAGATGGATCATGAACTCTAGTCTCTTGGGTACATCCTCAGATTTCAGAGAGAGCAGATAGACCTGGATGTATTTTTTTTACCATTAAAAACACAGAATATTATTATAGCAAGAGCTCAAGTCTTTCTAACCTTGAAAAAAAACCCCAAACCCTAAAAACTTATAACAACGAAATCTTTACTTCCCACTTATTTCACAGTCCCATGCCTATAAACAAGTTCTTGTAAGTCTAAGAACAATTAAATCCACAACTGAATACGAATGTATCATTTATTTGAGGTGGACAATTCACATAATTAAAAGCCACAGGTAACAAATCTTATCTTGAATTTGAATCAGAGGTTTATTTCATAGTTTTCAGGGGCAGCTTCAGAGAAAGTAAAACACAAAAGATAACCAGCACGCATCACGATCAGATGCGGGTGAGGAAAAAAAATATGAACCCTCAGAATGCAATTTAAATGGCAAAAAGAAAAAAAACCTGACTGTATGAAAAAAATGCATCTTGAAGGCAGTCCACTGAATGGCTTCTCCAATTATTTATTGTTAAAAAAGTATGCAAACCATGGCACAGGCATATCCAACCCTTTCAGCTGCAAGGAAGAGAAAACCTTGTCCTAACATATTCATTGCATAAGTCTAAAGTAACGTACAGAAAATTTCAAGTAACGGATTGTGGTCTGAAGTAAAAATTCCATTTCTTATTTAAAAAAAAAAATGAGAAGGCTATCTGTTTTTCTTCTCTCCATCCACTGGTTGATCCGTTTCAGAGTCATATTGGCATTTTTCCACACATTTCCTAGGGAACCAGCCTCGTTCTCTTATTCCACCTTAAGACATGAAAAGTTGCATTAACTTGGAACAAAACACGGCCCACTATAGAGGCAAAACACAAGACTGGAAGAAACATCTAAAGGTTACCTAATTTATTTTCTTCATCAAGACAGGACATCCAAGTCATTCCTAACATCGTTGCCTAGGAATGTATGGAGTCTCTCCCATTGCCTAAAATGTTCTCATGGATCTCCAAAGTTTTCTGGTACTCTCCTTACTCTTAGAAAATCTGTTCTAATACCCTATATGAGAATCCTTCTGTCTATAGTTCAAGTTCACAGCTCCTTTTCCTACACACCAGGGACACAGGAAGCAACTAACAACCTTCTCTACAACAGTCTTTCATGCAGCAGATGACTCTTTTTCCTCCCCAGGTAAGGTAAAGCTGAAAGAACTGAGGTGGCTTATAAATCCCATTTTGTAGTACTCTGATTTTTCTCATTGTTTTCCTCTCAATCCCTTACAGCTGATCTCCCTGTTTCTTGAGATGCTGTAACTGCTTTTACTTGTGTCAGTATTTCAGCTGAGTCTCTGCTAATGTTGAGCGGGATGGAAGGATTACTTCATGTATCTTTTTTCTTTTTTTGAAAGTGTTGACTCATCTTAAGATTATTTTTTTCTTTCCCTCAGAGGAACAGCTACTTAATCATTACTTTTTCCATCTTGTTTTAGTGCAGCTTGTTATTCCTGCCTATTTATAGCATTTTGGTATACATTCCTAGCAAATCATATCCCATTTTTGAAGCATAGTTCTCCAAAATACCAATGTTATTTTAAATTCTACTCCAGCCTCTCAGTATACACTACGTTCCCCCACCCAGACCACATTTCACCTGATCTAATTTATATTTGATGTTTGAAAGAGTTCATTAGAGTGAGCTGCCGAAGCACTTCCAGTCCATGAAGGTCTCTGACCTTCCATGAAAAGCATGGACACTTTCAGTTTAGTAATTTCAACCTAGTGAGCCAATCTGTTGGCTGCCTCTCTTTTGCCAACAAGGAACGTACATACAATGAATTCACAATTGTTCGGAAGAGACAACAGAATCCAACACAGGCTCAGTGGAAGGCAAAATTTTAGCTCAGTCCTAAGCAGAAGGGCTAAATAAAATATGCAAAAATTTCAGTGCAGGTGTCTGTGATGTTGTTTCTCTGCAGACCAGCAGGAGTCTTTAATGTCTGATGGCTGCAGTTAGTTACATAAATGCATATCAAAGTTCTTGGAATCGATCCCAAACCAAAGACATAATGTCTTCTTGTTTTTAAGATGCACAAAGAGTAATCCCAGGTCTTATATGGATACGGGGCATTTAGGTAGGAAATCTGAATGTGTTTAAGTAAAACCACTATTTAAATATCGAAAAAAAGAAATCACCATTAATCTCTTCCAAGTCTAGAAGTCTAACTTATTCTTAGAATATGAAGAAGTGTTCCCATTCCCATTCAACCTTCAATAGACTACTAGATGCATGTTCTTACTGAATCTTAGATTAATTAATGTTTATGAAAACTCACAGATGTAAAGAGTAAAAACTGTGGATGGGGTTTTAGCTCAGAGAGGAGCTAGCGCCAATAAGGTTGGTCATTCTACACTCTGAAAACTGAAAATATAATATTGTCTACATTTGTAGATAGCTATAAAATTGATTTGCGATTTTCAACAGAAAAAGTGAAAACAACTGCTTCATACCATCAGCATCTGAGTCAAGAATCTTCTCACCATACATCCAGTGTCTGGGGAAGAAAGTGGAATATGTAATTAGATACCAGAACTCATCTCAATATTTCTTTTAACCAAACATAAAGATGTGGAGCCACTAACTTTAAGCCTCTTGTGGCTAAAATCAGATCCCCTTTACTCAGTGCAATTCTAGGTTCTTCAGTGCATGGTGTTGTGAAGAATGTTTTAACACCTTTAGTCACAGGGCAGCAGACACCACTGTAATCTTCTATTGCTCGATACCGCACCTACAAATTTGAACATAACATGGCAATATATCATTGCAAGGAGTTACAGCATTGCTGACAGTTTCATATCAAAAAATCAATTCAAGTATACCATTAGATTTGAGCATAATGACAACAGCTGTCAAAGGGACTCTAAATTCTAAATTAACTGTGTAACGATGAAATACAGTCATCTTTATTATCACATTTCTTAACATCTGGAAACTAAGGAACAAACGCAAAGAAAGTTAAATGCTAAGTTTAACTAAGCAAAGGTTGCAGCACACTGTTTGTGTGGAAACACAGAGTCTCTATTTAATTGCTGGGTTTAAAAAAAAAAAAAAGTCTCAGCAATTACCTACATTTATTTACACTGACATTTCAAAGTCATTTCAGACCAAACATCACAAATACTTACACTTCTTACTCGCTTGTCCGCTTTCTGTTTCAGTTGCTCTATCTATAAATGATTATAAATAGAAATTTAGGCAGTATTTAGTTTAAGATTACTTCTGTATTCAACACAAAATGAAGTCAGGTATTGAAATCATTCAACAAATGCAGAAAATATCATTAGCACTTAAAAGCATTCACAGAAGTATAACTTTTTAGTCTACAAAAAATGCGAGAACATTCGACAGAACTCCTATTGCTTAAGTATATGTATTACCAGTCAGTCTATTTTAGCTATTGAAAAAGCTGGTCTATTAATGCAAAGGAAAGCAGGCAATTGGACAGTGGTGAGGATTAACTTGAGGTATCATTGAAGATCAATTACCGTCAAAGTGTATTGATGACAGCCATCTCTTACTGGCCAATCCAGGCCATCTCCCTCAGGAATCCCAGACCATGTAAACACTTGCTTAAAGTTCTTCCATTTACTTCCCATGTCATAGGGAAAAATAAAGGTCTCACCCGTTTGGTAGTACTGGATTCTGTCTTTGGCCTGGAAAACAATTAAGAAATATAGTACATAAAAACATACCTTACAAACTGCAACTGAGCAGCAGATATTAAGAAGTCCAGGTCATAAGCCCTGTGTGGGTCCATGAGACCCAAAGGTAAACAATTTGAGGCAAGAGCAGTGAATTCCTGCTATACTAACCCAGGCTACTAAAACTACTTAAAATAATGAAAGCATTTAGAAGTGTGTCTTGTTTGGGTGTCCCACATCATCCCCTCTCCTTTACTCTTTTAACAACAGAGTCAACTGGCTATGCTGATTAATCCATTCCATGCTCCAATTCTAATTCATGGCTTTTTTCAGAGACTGATGCCTGACTATTTTTCACTTACATAAAAAGACTTCCACAGCTCAGGATTCTTTGATTAATGATCATGAGCATAATTGGTAGTGAACCTCTAAGAACTGCATATACAGGCATAGTCTGAATTGCCCACATTCTGTAGTCATGAACATTTCATTTTTTCAGTAATGATGACATCTAGTGGAGAAGCCACAGAAGAGTTCGTTCTTTTTGTTGCAATAATGTAGTTTTTATTAAACACTTAGGTATTACAGTCTGTGTTTGGTTTTCAGAAGGGATATATTTGCAGTTAGTGTTTTACAGTAAAAATTTTAACAGATTATTCCAAATTCTACTATATAGTTGTAACAGGGTTTTCTTTCATTTATGTTCCTTTGTGTTATTATTCAAGGGTCGATTAGGACTATGGTCCAGCTAAGCTAGATTCTGTTCAAAAAGAAGGCACTACAGTACTTATACACAGTCAATATCTTCATGCTAATTTTGGCACAGAATAAAAGACAGACAAGTTAATTATGAAATGTTTGTGGATTTACACAAAAAAACCTGCCAGCACTGAACTAGTTTCTAAACACTGAATCACTTTTGCTTCCTCTAAACTTAGCTTCTGCTGCTTGGCTATGTTTCTTATGAAAAACCTTGTGAAACCCTCTATAAAGATATGGAGATCAAAGAGAAATTTAAAGGAGAGAACACTAGGTATATAATTTTCCAGCACTTCTTAAAAAATCAAGGAAAATCCTCTCAAGGTTAATCAGGGAAATAGGAAATTAGGAGAATCATGAGCCAAAAGATTCCACCTAAAATGGGTAGGGGAGTTAGAGAAAAATGCAAGCAGGCATAATGAGAAGCAAAGTCAACTTGAGTTTCAGACGAAAACAACCACATATTCCAAGCAGACAAGCAAAGTCTCTTAAAAGCAAATATGTTTCTACGGTCACACCCATTCACAAAAAAGAAAAATATATGTAGTCAAAGGATTTCTCATCTATTTCAGTGAATTTCAGAAGCAGTAAGGGAAAAGCTGATTGTAGGTGTTAAGTCAGTGGTGAACTGAAAAGACACCTTTGGTTTAAAGCCAGACAGGTGAAACAATAATGATAACTATAGAGAATAAACTTTATAAGAATACAGTACAATGATACTGTAATAAAAGCTCACCTTTTCTTCAATCCAGGACTCGATTGAAGTTTTATTTGTCAAAATTACTTTCATCTAAAAATAAAGCGTTAGGTGAAATCAGCATTGATTTTCTGCAGAAATACATCAGCTAGGCAAAGAAAACTTCATTTAACAAATTAATTTTCTTTAAACAACAAAGCAAATATTATGGGCTTAACTGAAACATATAAAACATCAAAATTAAGATTCAGCATAGATACATGCTAATACTATCCTTTAGGATTATACAGTATAACACAGTACTTCAGTTTATGCTTAAAATTAGTATTTTTGTTTCCTTCCAAAGATCTCAAACATTTGAAGTAATGTATCAGGCATGTTTGTTCCTTTTTTCAGGGACAGGGGCATGTACTCTTGAAATATCAAGTATTTTGCCATTTCCAGAGAGTTTATAAAGTCCATCTCATGTTTTCTCAGTTCATCAGATTTTTACTTCCAAGTTCTCTCATGAGGAGTAGTTAAAACAGAGGAATTGAGAGAAAGCAACATAAAACCCTGGAAAAGCTACACAGCAACATAATTTCTAAACAATTGTTCCTGTCTCTGTTCTGAATTCTGTTTCAGCTCCACAATGATGCAAAACTTACAGCTTTCAACTTCTTTGTAACTGAAGCCATAAACTTACCTGGATAATAAAGAGCATACCAACAGCAATAGTTGTTCCTAATGCCAGTCCTAAGGCAAATAAAGATGCAGCAAATGCAGACAGCCCAAAGGGAATAATGGGTCGAGGGTCTCTCTTGGCTGGACTCATGTCAATCTTTACAGAACTCCATCCAAAAGATATCTGCAAAGGGAAAATATAATTCAGCTCTAGAACATTCCGACTGCTGAAACAAAACAAATTACCAATAAGAAATCTGTCTCTGAACATAGATGTCCAACTTCTGACAGGTTTATAATACGAGTGGAATAATTAAAAGTAAAATGTGTTCAAAAGACTTTTCAGAACTATTATTTATTAGATGCAGGCCTTCTCTAGATGCAAAGCTAAACCAAAAGTCCCATCTTGCAAGCTCCACAAGTTAGGCCTAAGATCTCAAAAAAAAATCTGCACGCTGGCACACAAACAAAAACACATTCAACCAGTTTCAGACAGAAAATGTCTGCATAGTACAGTATCCATTTTCAATGGAAATGCTACAGGTCTTTCACTGAAAGCTTTAGCAGATAGCAGTTCTCAACATTACTGCTCTGTAAATACAACACACAGCTTTCATCTATTACACTCAGTTGATGTTTTCAAGCTTTTAATTGCAACCACAAAAGCTGAAATCAAAGCTCATAGTCTCAACCATGGATCTGAGATAAGGGATGTATTCCAGAACAAGCTGTGCTCATTGTTGCAGCAATTACATTTTCCCATTTAAAAACAAATTCAACATAATTTATTTTTGGTTCCAAAAATAATGTAATTTTTCCCCTTGAAGAAAGGGTTACATGTCTAAAAAAATGGCAAGAAAAAGAAAATAAATAGCAGCTAGTTTCTGTGCCAGCCAAAACACAGCCTGTCTCTCTACATATAAGGTACTGCTCAGAAACTGTCTTCAGTCAATGCAAAGCTCTAGGAAACTCCCAGTGATTATGACAAACAACAGGAAAAGAAAAAAAAAGGGAAAGGAAAAAAAACCCCACACTTTCTCTGAATCCTCCTGCGATTAATGAATGTACGTCTCACAGGTAGAGAGCAGAACTGAGAGTGTATGTTGAAATAACAAGGAATTCCACATGCTGCTTCTCAGGAAACCACATCACCTCACACTTCCAGAAATAAATTACCCGTTTGACTTAACTAATATTTTAAGTATTTAACTATGCTTTCTTACTCTGTTGTAAAGCTGAGTGTACATAGTCATAACAAATATGAAAGAAGCGTGAATGCATCCCAGTGGAGCTAAGAGGAGAAACAGAGTGAAAGATGCATGATTCTGGTATCCACAACAGTTGTTGATCCAAGGACAATGGTGATCCATCTTCATGACACATCTGTGGAAAATAAGTATTGATTAATATAAAGGACATTTATGATGTTTTTCCAAAAAGCTCAAAGAAAAGGACAACTAACTTTCTACTAGAATGAGAATGATATCTCATGTTGTAAAGTGAAAGAAAGCAAAACAAAAAGTGCTCCCAGGTCCTACCCTCCCTCCTCCTCTTTACTCAAACTTGCTTGTTGCTAGTAAACACCACATTCCAGAACCAGCAGACAGAGGCCTAGAATGGGAAATGTAAGATCAACACAGTAATTAAGCACTAATATTATGGCCGATTTTTAAAAATAAGGACAACAGAAAACAAAGTAAATGACAAATCCGCTGTGAACTACTTGCAGAAAGAACATATAGAGATACACAGAGAGGTGTGTTAATGCCTTTTCTTTTCAGAAAGCTTCACTAATTGCTATGTATTGACCTTAAACCACTCTAAGACCCTTTCAAAATCTATTTAACAAGCATAAATACCCTAGAGACACTCCTGTACTCAACATAAAGCTGGTTATTTTGGCTTAGCCTACAGGTGCAAAAAAACACCTGATAAAAGATTTGTCCACATCCCAAATTGCAGTGATTTAACTTAACAGGTGTAAAAGTCACTAATTAACAATGTTGCCATTCATCTGCAACAAACCTAAGTGATAAACAAAGGACTGAATTACATAAATATCCATCTCCCGTGAAAATAAAAGTTAACTGTTTTGGAACTACTGACCTCCTTATAAAAGATAAGCTACTCCATTCCCAATAGGAAGCTCATTTACTCCCTTTTAAAGAATTAATTATTCTTTATTAGCATATGCTCAGCTGCCACTGTTCAGGTTCTTGAACATGCAATCACAATTATCAGCACAAATGTTTCTGAAGAAGTTCCTAGGTCTTAGTTAGAAACCTCATCCTGTTCAGGCGTGCCACAAGAAGTGACTCCATTCATGCACTGAAACTTGCTGTAGCATAGAAGACTTTTGGCAGAAGTTACCTACTTCATTGCAACAGGCTAGGAATACACGCCAAATGAGTTACCCTGGCCAGAGTTGAGGGACAGAAAATTCTTAAAGCATATCAGCAAAATGATTTGGAGAATGTGCTGCAGTTTCTTCTGTTTTATTTCACAAAAGCGAAATCATTTAAAGAACTTGCATCTGCAACGACAACCATCGGGATCTGCTGCCATTTTCTACTAAGTCTTCGATGTAAAGATTGTCACTCAAGGAAAGCAGTCTAATTTTAAATCTCAGGATGGCGCAGCCAAATTGCAGCGTTGCTCTACAGTTTCAGTCTCTACTCCCTAAAAGCACACTACTTTGCATCTTGTGTTTACAGAAATAACCAGTGAATGCATATGCATTTTACCATGTTCTCTAGTAGTCTGTCAGAGGAGGACCTGCCCAGTAAACCCAAGATAAATGCAGTGACAGCCTGGACTGCAGACAGGCTTGCTTTTTTCAAGCTGCAGTAAATTCCAGTGTAGCTCTTTATAATAAAAGCAACCTTTACCTCAGAATAAGTCTATTGGAAGACTAACACATAACAAAGCACAAACTTTTTAGAGTTGATCCAAAAGGCTTACTGGTTCACTTAACACGTAGACTACCATCAAAAAAAAATCACCTTTAGCGAAGAGTAAAGAACAGTCCAAAATTTCCACTCAAATCAACACCTAACTCCCATTTGGGAACACAACAGAATAGGTTTTTCTACTCCCTGAGCAGCTGAATGTTCGGACTTAGAACTTACAAAGTACTGAAAGATTTTTAGGTATTTACACAGGCTCACTTTCCTGAAACAGTACTGCAATGTTTTGTTAAATCTGTTAAGAAATTCTTGAGAGAGACTAATTTCAAACCAGAAAGAAAATGTAAAGACAGATCTATTTATTAAACCAAAATACAGTAAAACCATACAGAAACCATTCAACTAGAAAGTGGAAATACTTGAAACAGGTATAGTGTTCATATGGAAGTCTTTTAAAAATGCACAAGTCTCAGATGAACAAATTATATTAATAGCTCATCATCAGATTAGAAGCTGCTTTAATACAAACTTAAAACAATTTTAAAGGAAGACAGTACCTGTTACACTTTCGACAGTGGTGTGAACGTGGTGCCTTATAAGACTGACACACTTTACAGTATTGGAGATACATGCAATCCTGAGATTTTTCCTTTAAACAGAAGAAAAGACCTGTTAGACATATACTTAATTCTACTGACAATACATACCTTAGCACTTTCCTAACCTAAGCATCTTTGCTTTCTTCTGACAGGGTATGTTTCATAACCCAACCCTACTTAATGGTAGGTGGTGAGGAGAGGAAAAAACAAAATGAAATAACCTCTTGGCTATCAACACAGCCATCTCCCACTGTTGAAACTGCTGGCTGCTAAAAGAAAACAGTTCTTCCATTAGGAAGAGTGGCTGTACAAGGAGAATTTCATTGTGAAGCTCTGAGAGTAAAAAACAACAGGAGACGTTTATAATAATAATAGAAAAAAAAAAAAGCTTATGTACCTCTCTCCATTTTACATCATGAGCCAGTTTAAGCTTACTACTAAGATACAGTACTGGTAAACATTAATGTTCAACTAGCTCTTGTTTACCACCCTCTCTCTCTTACACACACACATGCATGCCAACTACAGCAAGATGGGAGACAGAGAGACTGTAGATAGCAAGCAGTAATGCTGGCCAAAATCTTCTGTTCACAAAGTGGAATACATAGTTGTTCTGCTAGGACTACATCAGAATCCTTTTCTCACTAGACTCTGTCCTGAGAAACATTCCACAAGGAGAAATGTGATTGCTACTAATCTTTGTATCATGCCACTGGAATGTAAACTCGGGCCAGCTGTCCTGAACCTGTATCATTCTGGTCCTTGAGTACTACTCTTCCAACCGATTACTGAAGAAAAGGAAAAGCAAATTTCTACCTTGACTTATAATACTGCATTGAACATAAGATAAACACGCAATTTTCTGGCTCTTACACACAAAAAATAAATTAGCTAAATGAAGTTCTTTTAATCCTTACTACTAGCAGCAAAACCTTCCATACAACAGCGTCTGCATGAGCGTGCTGGTAACCTCGAGGTTCCCATTCTCGGCTAACAGCACTCGTTTCCTGTTCTGCCGTGAGAAGCACCAACAAACAGAACAACACATCCTGCCAAGGCAGAGGCGCTGCCGCCCAGCCCCGCGCCGGAACGGGCACACCGAGGGAGCGACGGAGCGAGCCGGGGAGCGCTGGAACCAGCGGGGACATGGCAGAGAGGCAGAACGTGAAGATGTCCAAACAAGATAAGGAGAAAGGAGTGGCCCGAGGGGCCCGCTGCATTCCGCACGGAGCAGGGGAAACGCCGCCATCAAAAGATACAAGACCCCGGCCGTCTGCTCCCCGCACCCGCTCCTTCCAGAGCCCGGCCCGGGCCCCAGCGCAGCCCCCTCCCCGCCGAGCCCCCCCTGGGGATGAGGCGATCGAAAGCCAGCGCTTACCGGCGTCCACCCCAGCGGGACGTACCCCGGGCCGACAAACATGGCG